TGAGGAGAAAGGATAGAGAGTCTTAAAGGTTACCTGTCACGGTAATACAACGTATTCTTAAATGATAGAGATTCAAATATCATGTATACGTTGTACTATCAGAATTGCTCTTAAATCAGAGGTTAAAAAATTCTCAGTCGGGGGCTGGGCCTGACCAGAATGGTGGACAGACATGCACAAAGTGTGCTCCTCACATAGATCTTGATTAACACAAAGTTTATGGGGTGATTCACTCAAATGATTATTTACGTAACCCTGTTTGCTGGGGTGCTCTTTGCTGCTAAGCTGGAGCCTTGCCTTGTTATCCTGTTACAACCTACACATTATGGGTGATCCACGGAAGGACAAGTCAGCCTATCTCCTAGCCTGGAGCTACTGGAACCTGACACAGTTGCTACCGAAACCCCATTACCCTCCCTTTGGACTGAGGGGGGTTATCCCAGTACCCACCAAGAAAAAGACTACTGTTCACCTAGAGGCACTACAGCTAATTCCTACTCTGACACCACAAGTACTCGTGGAACAGACAAGATGGCCACCGCACTGACGGAGAACTCACTGCAACTCAATTCAACAAGATATGCACCGCATTCTGGAATTGTCTGGTGTCTTGTAAGGAGGTACTCATCTTACCTGTATATGTAAAGACCGTTGCTGTCGTCCCGTCACGCCGCTCTCCTTGTGTCCCGAGATCTAGGATGGAAGGGGAGTCCATCAACTGTCCACAACCTGGGGGGCTGCCTTGGGAGGTGGAGTCCCACAGGAATTTAACTCTGCCACAGGAGTTGGGGGGTTCAGTGGCTATCAGGCACCGGCTCATGCAGAGGCCCGGGCCTGGGAGGTGGAGGGGCAGGGATACCGCCTTGCTGAGCTTCGCGTTCTAGAAGACCCCTTCATACAGCCGAGAAGCAGTGGTAGTGCCACCCAACATCTGCTAGCTGGGTGAGGAGCCAGACTCCGGATGAGGCCTTACTGTGGCACAGGCTGAATAGCCAACACTTATGATGCACTGGCCTAGAAATTTAGCTGTTAGCTGGGCAACTGTTACATATTTGTTTACCTTCTTGCATAACTACAACAGCTTTATTTGTTTGTATTATCTGTTAGTGTTTCATATTTAAAGTCCAATGCAGAGTATTATAGTTACAATGAGGAAACATTGCCTTTTCAGTTACCACCAGGGCCGGACTGGCCCACCGGGATACCGGGAAATTTCCCGGTGGGCCGTCGGCACCTGGGGCCGGGCAGACAGCTGGCTCACCTGCGGCCGCAGAGGGAGCTCCCTTGGCGGCCGCAGGGGAGGCTGGCTGTTCTGCCTCTGCTCCCTCTCCCCAGCGCGCTAGAAAGAGACCGGGGCCGGAATATGACGTCATATTCCGGCCCCGGTCTCAGTAAGCAGTGCGCTGGGGAGGGGGAGCAGAGGCAGAACAGCCAGCTCCCCCTGCGGCCACCAAGGGAGCTCCCCACAGCCCCAGGTAGACATTGTGTGTGTCAGTGTGAGTGTATGTGTGTGTGTCTGTGTCATGGTGTGTGTGTGTGTGTCTGTCTGTGTCATTGTGTGTGTCTGTGTGTCTCTGTCTGTCATGGTGTGTGTCTGTGTGTCTCTGTCTGTCATGGTGTGTGCATCTGTGTCATGGTGTGTGTGTCTGTCTGTGTCATGCAATGTGTGTCTGTGTCATGGTGTGTTTGTCTCTGACTGTCATGGTGTGTGCGTCTGTCTGTGTCACGGTCTGTCTGTGTCATGGTGTGTGTGTTTGTCATGGTGTGTGTCTGTCTCTGTCATGTAATGTGTGTCTGTGTCACGGTGTGTGTGTGTGTCTGTGTCACAATCTCTCTGTGTCGTGGTGTGTGTCTGTGTGTCATGGTGTGTGTCTGTGTGTCATGGTGTGTCTGTCTGTGTCATGTGTGTCTGTGTCACAGTCTGTGTTATGGTGTGTGTGTCAAGTTGTGTGTGTCTTTTTTAAGGTGTGTCTGTCATGGTATGTGTGTGTCTCTGTCATGGTGTGTGTGTGTGTGTGTGTCTGTCTGTGTCATGGTGTGTCTGTCTGTCATGGTGTGTCTGTGTTTCTGTCTGTGTCACGGTGTGTGTCTGTCATGGTATGTGTGTGTGTATGTGTGTTTTTACTCACTTTTTTTTTTCCCACGTCGTGCTGGTCTCCCCTCAACTGGCCCTGCCTCTACGGCTGAGATCATCAAGCTTGATGATCTCAGCCAATCCGCACTGACACAGGAAGCACCTCTAGTGACCGTCTGAGTGTCTGTCACTAGGAAGCAATGTAAACACTGCCTTTTCTCTAAAAAGTCAGTGTTTACATTGAAAAGCCTGCAGGGACAGGCTGTAGACACCAGAGCCACTACATTAAGCTGTGTGTGTGTGTGCGCGCCTGCTAGTGAGTGGGCTTGCTTGTGTGTGTGTGTGTGTGTGTGCCTGCTACTGAGTGAGCTTGTGTTTTTATTTTAATGACCTTATGTATATCAGTGAGATTGTTTGTCTATGAGGCTGTGTATCAATCAGCTTGTGTCAGTGAGATTGTCTGTGTCTGCATGTGAGTATGCTTACTGTATAATTAAAGATTTTACTCTGAAAGAACCAATATTTTATATTGGAAAAAGATATATATATATATATATATATATATATATATATCTCAATCATCTAGGGTGGCAAGACATAGCCCTACATACTACATGCGACAATATATGGCGCAATGACTTATGGGGCTGGCATAGATTTTTTTTCCAGGGCTGCTTTGGAATCCCCAGTCCGGCCCTGGTTACCACTCTATATTGCCATTTTATCACTCTCTCTTGACACAATCTATAAGCCTTTTAAATTGCAGCTTTTCTATAACACTGGTGGTTTTTCATAGATTATATACCTATCTGTAGACCAAGCATGAAATCGAATGTATCTTATGAGTAGCTATATTGTCAGCTGACAGAGCATGATACACCCACTAATCCTGACTACCTACCAACTGATGGGTTCTACTACAGCTATTCAATGTTTATTATAAAGAAAAGGTGCAGTTATATTTCTTGCCATGATATTGTCTATGATGCAAAGCTTACATGTGTCGTTGTGGCATTGTGTGCATGTTTGCTAATCATTTGCACACACACAAAAAAAATAAGTCAGTTCCCTCTGTGCCTATTGGCACAGAGATAAAAAGGCTGAGCTCTGCATTTTTGTTACCCCAGGGAAAACCTCTTCTGGGCCTGCCTCCTGTTTGAATTCAGCTTAAGGGAAGTAGTGGGGAGGGGCAGGCTCTATGGTAGAGCAGCACCAGCATGCGGAGAAAGGAGAGAAACAGCCAGAATGATTCATTGCAGCAGGCCAATCTAAGAATGGAGACAGCAGATATGTTTTATTTTCACAAATACATTTAACTTGCCATGAAAAGCAAACAGGGTGAGTAAAAGAGGTGTGTCAGTGAAAACATGACTGGTGCTCTTGGTACTCCACTAAACTAAAGGAAACCAAGTAACAGTACTTTCCTCTAAATGGAAAACACAGAACTGGCACTTTCCTGCTCTAAAGGGAAAAGGCTCAGCATGCAATGGAGTTGAAATGACAAATAGCAGGAGAACCATTTGCTTCCCCTATCACTTGATTGTCTACATGGACCAATATGCCTTCAGGAAAGCCCTCAATGAAGCCAAGAGCGTTGTTACTTAAGAAAGTCTTTATTTAGTGTTTTACATGCAAAGGTTTATTTAAATGATATTTTTCCATAAACAGGAATTATCATATTAATAACTGTACTGTCGTACAGTAGAATATTAGGATATTACAATGAAACATGAATGTTGGATGAATGGCTTTCTGCGACCACAAATAATTACTTTGAAGTTCTGTCGGGAGTTCATACCATTAACCCATTAACTGCCACCCAGAATAATCTTAATAGAAGTCATTAGCCATATTTTCATTTAGGTGTATATAAAAAAACGATGTATTTGCTTGCAATTCTACTAGCACACTATAGAGATTAAATATTAGTATTTAATTTAAACTGAAGTTGTGTTTACCATGACACCATGACCTACTGAGAAATATAGATTTTACGACAAATAACTATTACGCAGACCAAGTCTCTGCTTTTAGTTGACACATCTAATGACTTCTACTAAGATTATTCTGGGTGGCAGTGAATGGGTTAACAGTATGGACTCCCGACCGAACTTCAGAGTAATTATTTGTGGTCGTAGAAAGCCATTCATCCAACATTCCTGTTTCATTGTAATAACCTAGTATTCTACGGATAGTACAGTTATTAATATAATAATTCCTGTTTATGGAAAAAAAATATAAAAAAAATATAATTTAAATAAACCTTTGCATGTAAAACACTAAATAAAGACTTTCTTAAGTAACAACACACTTGGCTTCAGTCGAAAGGAGAAAATATTGGGATATGTCGCTGCCACGTTTTAATTCAGAACAGAAGGGCTGAAAACATTAAAGGCTTGAAATTGTAAAACGTATACCCTATTTTTTTATTTATTTTTTTGACCACAGATATCTGTGAGTAAGCCTTAGTTTGTACTATTTGTTAGTGCTTGTCAGATATCCTCCCACAACATGCGTTCTTCGTTAGATTCAAACCGCACAACAATTGAGCATGACAAAATGGTTTATTATTAAACGGAAATATAGGCCATATATACAACAATCAAAGGACAGTCACTAACGCATTGTAGTTTGGATCATTTTGTTTTTGTTTGTTTGCATACTTTTTCTATGTTTGTCTTTGAATTTATTTACTAAACTGGGACTTGTGTTGATTTGATG